GGCCAGATGTGGTGGCTCATGCCTGTAATCCAAGCACTTTGGAGGCCAAGGCAGGTGGATCACCTGAGGTCAGGAGTTCAAGATCAGCCTGACCAACATGGTGAAACCCCGTCTTTGAAAAAAATAAAAAATAAAGACAAAGAAACTGCGGTTCCGAGAGGGCAGTGGCCGCACAGCCCTCCTCATTACCTGAGTAATTGGAAACCAGTTACTGAGAAATTGAGAAATAGGGTCAGAAAGATCATATGATACCATGAAGGAAGAGCAACCCCCAGTGCAGGGGCAGGAGACAGTGGATTAAAGAATCAGCATCATGACTAGGAGTTACGGTGCAATCCTGCAGGGATGTGCAAAGGATTGAGGGGCTATGGCAGACACAAGGGAGCTACCGATTCTTCTTGTTTGGGCTGGGGTGAGTTGAGAAATATGAAAAACGATTGAACTTTTGCTCTGGGACTCATAACAATCCTGTGAGGTGCAGGGAAGGGTTAATAGCATCTTCATTTTATGGTAGGGAAACTGAGGTACTGCACAGCTCAGTGACCTGCCCTTGTTCAGAAGCAGTGGAGCAGGGATGGGTTTCCAGGCCTGTCTGCCTGGCCCACACCCTCCCTGGTTCCACATCCTGGGGGAGGCAGGGATAGTGTCAGGGCCTAGCTCAGCTTGGTTACCAGGCTGGGTACGATTGGGTTAATCATTTTGGAAGTCAAAGAGGACTCTGGGGCCACTGGGGTTTGCAGGCCTTTGTCCTGTCTCCCAGCCCTGCCCCCACCTCTTGTAAGTCTCTGCTTTCGTCCGGAGGGAAACAGTGGCCCCTTGTTTTCTCCGAGTTCAGAACTCCAAGTGCCACACAGAGCAGGATCCAGCATGGGCCCCATGAGATGGCGTGACTTGGAAACAGAGTGGCCACAGACCTCAGGCCCCGCGGGCAGCCTTTCACTGAGACACCCTTGCTCCTGCTGAGAGGGACAAGTCAGACCCCATCCTCTGAGGAGAACAAGAAGTCCCTGGGAATGTTCTCTTTTCTGGGGCAGAGTGTGGTCAGAAAAGCTGAATGACAACCTTGAAATGAGTTCCTGTGCCCATGGCTTCTGGGAGACACGCCTCTGTGGTGTCCTTTCCCCTCGGGCATCCCCCTGCGCGGTGTCCTCCCCTCCATGGCGTCCCAAGTCTCAGGAACTGGGCCCTTTCTCCTGTGGGGGCTGCACCCAAGGGCTCATCTCCTTTCCAGCCAGTGGAGGGAGACAGCGGCCTGTTTGCAGTGTGTTCAGAGTGGGGAGGGAGGCCACGACCCGTTTGCGGTGTGTTCATGGGGGGAGGCCACGACCCGTTTGCAATGTGTTCATGGGGGGAGGCCATGACCCGTTTGCGGTGTGTTCATGGGGGGAGGCCGCAGCCCGTTTGCGGTGTGTTCGTGGGGGGAGGCCATGACCCGTTTGCAGTGTGTTCAGGGGGGAGGCCGTGGCCCGTTTGTGGTGTGTTCACAGGGGAAGACTGCAGCCCATTTGCGGTGTGTTCGGGGGAGGCCATGGCCCGTTTGCGGTGTGTTCGGGGGAGGCCGTGGCCCGTTTGCGGTGTGTTCATGGGGGTAGGCCGCGGCCCGTTTGCGATGTGTTCACAGGGGACGACTGCAGCCCATTTGCAGTGTGTTCAGGGGGAGGCCGTGGCCTGTTTGCGGGGTGTTCACGGGGGAGGCCGCGGCCCGTTTGCAGTGTGTTCAGTGGCAGAGACCACGGCCCGTTTACTGTGTGTTCAGGGAGGGAGACCATGGCCGTTTGCGGTGTGTTCAGGGAGGGAGACCGCAGCCTGTTTATGATGTGTTCAGGTTGAGGAGACCCCTTCGGGGCAGTCGTGGCACATCAGGCACCTGACGAAGAGCCACTAGAGCTGCCAGCAGCCCTGCTCGTACCCAGCACAGATGCCACAGGGAGAGGCGGCCACACCCGAAAGCGGCCCAGGTCTGATGTGTATCCCAAGCGGCTGTTCTCACAAAAGGGTTTTACTGGCATGGAAATGGTTGGAAAATACACAAAGGAGGGTGGCCCGTTTCCAGAGCTCAGCTGTTGACCTTCAGCGGAGCGCTGGGGATGCGGAGAGCTTATTTTCCAAACAGCCATGGTTGTCAGGTCTACAGGCTGCAAGCTGATGCCAAGCAAGGACACCAGGGGCGTCCCCTCTGCTTACCTCCTTCCCCAGTGCCAAGGGGACCCCATGGTTTCTCTCAAGCAGGGCCGTCTGGAGATGTGGGTGCTGGTGGGCATGGGGGTTCTGCAGTCCGTGTGCATCTCTCCTGTGGCCTGACTTCCCCCGTGCGTGTAGCTCTCTTGGTCTGAAGCAGCTGGCCTCTCGTTTGGGTGCCTGTCCCCCGCTGGAGCCATGGGCTGTAGTAGAAACAGGTTGGTTTTTGGCTCTGTTTGAGAACCTAGTGTTCTCTGCCCGTGGCCTCTCTACCTTCTTTCAAATTCTGCTTTTTCTAGGAAGAGGTATTGGGTGGAGTGAAATTTGGAATCTGTGGTGAGAGCCAGCAAAGCTCTTGCAGTTTCTTCTTTCTGTCATAGGGGAAACTGAGATCCAGGGGATGGTGAGCCAGGTTAGCAGGCTGCTTGTGGAGGCTGACATGTGGGCATTGGTGCACAGCCTCCGTCCTGGCTGCTTCACCTGCATGGTCTTGCTCGGTTATTTTCCTTCTTGGGCCATTAGTGTCCTGTCCTGGTCTGTGCAGCAGGGAGAGTCTTCCCTGGCCCCTGGGCTTGCCATGAATATGAGCCAGCACCCAGTCTCAGGAGATACTTCGAAATGTCTTTTCCTTCCCCTTCTTCATCCAAAAGCCCCAGAGATGAGCAGCTTCTCAGCTGGCCTGGTTTTGGCTTTATTTTGTTTTGTTTTGTACACAGGTCGGTCACCATGGGGAGGGAACAGCATTTCTTAGTATTATTGTGAGGTCTAAAGGACTTTTTAAAATATATATAGAGAGGAAATCCCTTAACATCTTTCCTGGCAAACAGTAAGAAAGAGGAGTTAAAGACACAGCAGGTGAAAGCTGGCATGTTCCGGGGCGCCAACGGGGAAGAGTTTAGTAAGGGACCATGACAGGGTGTGACCGGGCCTGGGAGCCAGCAAGGGACAGAGTTCCCCAGTGCTAACAAGCCCTGAGAGCTGTCACCACCCCTAGGCCTGGGGGGACAAGGGCCGGAAAATGTACCTGGAACCATAGGGAAGGCTATTTAGTGAGGCGCTGCCCTGCTCTGAGGGGGTGTGACTGTGCCAGAAATATGGCAGGCGGTGGGAGTGTGAGGATGCTGCAAATACATCCCCTCCTTCTCTCCTTCTTGCCCATCTGCTGTGTCTCCAGTTGGCCCGACTTGGCCAGAGGTCAAGGCAGCCAGGTGGTTGTGGCCTTAGAGGACAGCTGTCCAGGGCACTGAGCAGGCATAGGGAGTGAGGTTGAGGGGACAGGCAGAGGGAACAGAGTGAGAAGCACAGCCTCAGATCTGACTTTGCATCCCCGCTTCACTGCCTTCCTGCTGTGAGACCCTAGACAGGTTTTAAAAGTCTCCCTTCTATGGCAGGGTGTGGTGGCTCACACCTGTAATCCCAGCACTTTGGGAGGCTGAGGCGGGTGGATCATGAAGTCAGGAGATCAAGACCATCCCGGCTAATATGGTGAAACCCTGTCTCTACTAAAAATACAAAAAATAGCTGGCATGGTGGCACCCCTCTGTAGTCCCAGCTACTCGAGAGGCTGAGGCATCGAGAATCGATTGAACCCTGGAGATGGTGGTTGCAGTGAGCCAAGATTGCGCCACTGCACTCCAGCCTGGGCGACAGGGCAAGACTCTATCTCAAAAAAAAAAAAAAAAAAAAAATCTCTGTCCTCCACTTTCCTCATTTGTAAAATAACTTTTCATAGTGGCTGTTAAATAAAATGAAAGAAATGCATGCAAGCTTTGAGCATGATGCCAACTGCCAGTGACCATTTGTAGTTGTCACTTACGGTGTCTTTAGTAACAACTTTAAAACAGTCAGCCTGGAATCCTGGAGGGAACCCCACTTGGGGGTGGGGATGAGAGCAGGGGTGGGGCTCGTGGCCTCTGGCCTCTGCTGAGGCCAAATTAGGGGTCAGCCAGGTGCCGGGCTGGCGCCGCAGCCTCTGAGGCACTGGCCTTGCAGGTGGTGGTGGCCGCGTGCCGGGAGGGAGACATCTGGCAGGTCAGGAAGCCGGTGTCAGGCTGCCCTGGCTTTTGGCAGGTGCTCCTGTCTTGGGGTCAGGTGACGCTGACTGTCGGCCAGAGGCTCTGGCTCCCTTGGGGCCTGATCTTCCCAACCTCATGCACTTGAAAAAATAAACACGTTCCCCAGCAGAGCAGGGGAGCAGTATGGAACAGATTGCAGGCAGCCTCGTGCGCCTTCGCTTTTCCTGATGAGCCCAGATTTTGGTGTGAAGTGCAAGCGTCTGGTCGCTTAAAGCAGTAGCTTCTAGATTCCTAAGGACCACAGCTTTGCTAAGACTTTTTATAAGTTAGCAGAAGCAGCATCCACTTTGATCTAAGCTCTGATCCGGCTGTGTGATGTTAGTCACTTAACCCCTTAGAGCCCTAGTTTCCCCAGATGGTTGGGCAGACGGGACATATTCAGAAAAGCTTTTCTCTATAAAGCCATTTCTCAGCATCACTTGCCTGGCCTATTGACACTGTTGCCTTGATTCCTCTTATGTGTCTTCTGCGTCCTGGGTCACATGGGGCGTGGGGAACAGAAGTACAAATGTGGGCCCTGCCCTTGAGGAGCTAGCAGGAGAGACGAGTCGTAGGGTCTTGGAGGGTTTGTCCTGCTTGTCCTGTTGGTATTTCCTATGAGTGTCAGCCCTCCTCCTGCCCCATCTCTAGAGTGCGATAGGGAGGCTCGAGTTTCCTCTGGTGATATGCCCTGGGGTGGACAAGAGAATGGGGCAGTGGACTCAGGTGCTGAAGTTGTTACTTTTGTCTGTGTTCCCTGCCTCGCAGCTGAACCTTAACCGGCCGATTGAGGAGCAGGGCCCCCTGGATGTCATCATCCACAAGCTGACCGACGTCATCCTTGAAGCAGACCAGAATGATAGCCAGTCCCTGGAGCTGGTGCACAGGTTCCAGGTGAGTGAAGACTGTGCAGCCTTTGGCTGTGGCATTTTCAGGAGGAGGAGGGGAGGCCCTGGAATGGCTGTGTGTGTGTTTAGGGCGGTAGCAGCTCTCTAGAGGTATAGGCTGGAGAAATGGCTTTGCCACTGGCAAGACGTGGGCTCCTGGGCAGGTACTTGTCTGTGGCCTCAGTATCCTTGGGTGTAGCATGGGGACCATACCAGGGCACAGTTAGCCCGTCTCTACCCCTGGCTGTGTAGATGTGGTTTTCCGATGAGGCACCGCTGAGTTCCATTGTGGCCTCCACGTCCTCAGTACAGGCATGCACAGCCCTTACCCATGGCTTGGGTTGGCACAGGGATGGAACCCTTTTGCTGCACTTGGTAAAGAGAACTCCCGAGGGCCTTTGAACTGAGTCCTGCCTTGGTGGAGAGCCCTGCCTCCGCCCATGACTTTGACCTGGGTACTCACCTTTGGGCATGGCCTGTGGTGTCTTACTGAGTCCCTTGGCTGCTTCTCCATCCACACCCGACTTCCTCAGCAGCCTCCCAGGTCCTGACCCCACAGTGACCTGCGTGTCACCTTGGGATTCTCGTGCTGGCTACTGACTTGCCCTGTGTTCGTTCTGTTGTGGACAAGAATGTGATTCTGTCCTCTGGAAAGCAGCTCAGAGGTCATGAAAAACAAATTGTATTGTCAGTGAAAATGCAGGCAAGATCGTGACTGTTTTTGGGCCTGCCTGGTGGGCTGGCGATGCCTGAGCTGGGGTTTCCAGTCTGTGACAGACACAGATTTGCTGTCCTGCTTTTCTTCATCAGGACAAAGGGAATCTTGCCCTCCTCCTGGTCACACAGAGCCGCTGTCCTGCCAACACCATTCTCTCTCCCCACATGTTTGGGGTTGGCCGCCTTGGCCCCTCTCGCTTCCCTGGGGCTCTCACCCTGTTCCTTGGCCAACTCCCTGCTGCACACTCCTGCTTCCCACCAGGAAGTGGCTCCAGATGCAGGTGCAGCCTGCTCCTGGCCTCCCCTGCTCGGGGTGGGGCATGTCCCACCTTGTGCCCTCCAGGCCTCTGCCCCGCCAGTGGCCCCAAGTCCATTCTACTTGCTGGACATTGTCTTCTTCATAGAGCTGGAGACTGTGGGAGAAACATGGGCTCCTCTGTGACCTCGTGGAGACTCAGTTTTCTTATTTGTAAAATGGTTGCTGGTAAAAAGAAAAACTCAGACCATGTTGGGAGGAGTATGCTGGGATTAGAGGGGAATAAGACAGAGGAAATGTGTGCCCTGGTAATGCGCTGCTTCCTGAGCCCCTGCCCCATGCCAGGGCTGGGCTGATAAGCGCTCACCCATGTGCTGCATGTGATTCCCACATCCCCCAGAGCAGACTCACCAGCCTTGTTGATAACCAGGAAGTGGGGGCGTGGAAGCCTGTGCAGCTTGTCCACCGGGACCCGGCAGAGCCGGGGTCAGTCTTGACTTTCTCAGGTGAACCACTGCTCGTCCTGAGGGGCTTGCTCTTCTGTTCCTCTTCAGCTTCAGCTACACAAGTGTCCTGGGTGTGGCCCCAGCTGATCCCAAGTCATGCAGTGACCTTCCTATTCCCTGAGCCATTTGCTCTTGCCTCACTCCCCGTCTCCTTCGAAGGCCTCTGAGTGCCCAGTTCGTGTACCTGTGGTGCCTTGGGGGATATTCTCTGGAGGAACATAGCTATGCCTGGGCTGCCACACAGACCTTTGGGGCAGGGATGTCATATCTCTTGATGAGTCCAACTAGGGGACGGTGGCCTTCCAGACACCCTTTGGGAAGGCAGGGTAATGTGTGATGACAGCAGTCACGATTACCATTACCACAGAAAGCACTGTAGAGCAGTTCCCACGTGCCAGGCCCTCCTGGAAAACGCTTCATGGCGGTTGACCCACTTGCTCCCGTGAGCTGTAAGGTTCGATGATTCCCGTCCTATGGATGAGGAAGCAGACGCAGGACAGCTAGAAAGTGGTCCAGGTGTGATTTGAGCCTGTGCTAGCTTGCTCTCCCCACCCGCCGTGTGGCCGCTCCAGAGATGGATGAGATAGAGGACTTGGGAGTTAAACTGTCTTCAGGGCAGATCCTTGCTCCAAAACTGAGGGGCTGCACGCCTGCCCTCAACCTCAGTTCCTTCCTCCTTGGGTGGGCAGGTAGCTGGGGGAGTAAATGCCTGTGGGTGTCAAGCACCTGTTGTAGCTGAGTGCCGCTTCATCACATCCACACGGTTGCTCTTCTAGAGAGAGGGCCACAGCATTGGCTAGCCTGATCCGGAGTTCCGGAACATCTGCTCCCAAGCCCTTATCCCTCCTGCCTATGCCCCAGACACACACAGAGCCCACAGCCCAGGCAGGTGATGTCCAAACAGTGAATGAGAGTGCCCGCTGTGTTCCTTTTCTGGGCAGAAAAGAATATTAACAGGGAGAATGTGTGGAGGGCAGCATGGGGACTTGTGGCTTAAGGCTGCCAGGCAGCCACAGGTGCGTTTCCCAGGCAGGGTCTTGGCTGGGTCTTGGTGGATGGTTGCCGTGACCTCACTGTAACTTCCCAGCACTGGTATTTCTGGGATAAATTTTCACTGCCGTCTGTGCTTCAGTAAGAAGCCGGATATCTGATAAGGTAGGAAGTTTCCTCCTTTGTGAAAAGAACAATCCTTTGGGGGAAAGGGTGCGGGGCTGCACTTTCCAGAGGTGGGGCTGGCAGAGAAGGACTGAGAGGCACTGGGATAGGGCTGGGGTCTCCTTCCATCAGGCACTGGGCTGTCGGCGTCGACTGTCCCCCTCCATCTGCCGTAAGGTGCAAATTCAGAGCCAGACCACGTAGACCAGGGAGGCGGACACTTACCCTCAACTGCACCCTTTGTTTTCAAATTTTTGTTTTAATTTTTATTCTCCAGACATTAACAAGGAGGCATGAGTGTAGTCTGGGGAGTGAGAGGGACAGGGATGCTACAGTCAGAGGCAGGGAAGCAGCTCCCAAGGCTGGGGTCCTCCCATTTCCTTGTGAGCAGGGAAACTGAGGCAAGATGCTTTGTCCCAGCAGGGGCTCAGCTTGAAGGGCCTTCTCCACAGACCATATTCAGGTCCTAGGAGGAAGGAGGAAGTGGTTTGGGGCTATGTGGGTGGAGGAAAATGAATTTCTGAGATGTTCCTCAGGGCCCCAGAGCACTGCACCGCACTGCCTTTGTGAAAGCTCTGGTCTCCAGGGAGGGAAGAAAGTCCCAGAGCCAGGAGGCTGTGCATGCTTCTGGCTGCCTTGGTGGGCGGGTGGCGGGTGTGGGCCAGAGGCTTACTGCAGAACATTAAAGCTGCTTGTCACAGAACCTTCACCACTGCCCCAGGGTTTTGGATTTGTTTGTTTGTTGTGTTTTTGATTGGCTTCTGATTGGCTTGGAGACTCAGTTGGGATGATTCAGTTGTTTTTCTGCTCCAAGATTCATGTGGAGCCAGCAGCCTGGTGCCGCGGAAGCTCTGCTTCAGGTTTGGTTCTCAGTGTGCAGACCCAGGCAGGGGCCCACAGGGCAAGCCCACGTGGGCACATGGAGCTGACATGCTGGGAGGGTCCCTGTCATGGGTTCAGGGACACTAGGGGTCTCCTGGCCTGGTGAGTGGCTTCTCCAGGGGAGCAACATGAGCCTTTTCCTCACTGTGGCACCTGGAGCCACCTGCCAGGTGTGGGCACTGGGTAGGAGGGGAGGGGTCCACCCTCCTCTTCTGCTGCCCCTTCTAGCCCCAGAATTCCCCCTGAAGGGGTGCAGTGATTGTGATCCATGGGTCATGTGAGGCTGCCTCAGGGGACCTTCCTGGGGTTCTCCCTGAACAAGCTTAGAACTAAGCAGGAGGTTTCAGTCTAAACTGCTGCCTCTTCCTTGTCTTTATCAGCTGGAAGGACGGCAATTGTCCCCCAGATGTACTCTGAACTCCCAGTCTGCACACAGACTGCAAGGAGAGCGTCCCCTACAGCAGTGCTGCTGAGCGCCCTGCCCTCAAGCTCCTGGCCTGGAGGGGAGGCCGGTGGGCAGACCCAGAACTGACCCCATAGCCCCTAGAGTGATGAGTTAGGAAAAACACAGGTCTGATCACAACATGGCTTGGCTTAAAACTGTCCATGCTTTATTATTGCTGTGACACAGAAGGCCGTGATTGCCAGCATGACCCATGGGGCCTCGCTGATATGCCCCGCCCGCTCCTTCCCTGGCCCCCACAGCAGCTGCTCAGGCTCTGACCTGTGTCCACCTCAGCGCCTTTGCACAAGCTCTTCCATCAGCTCAGTGCCCCTTCCCGAGAAACGTCCTCCCTCATGAGCTGACTAATGATACATCTCTCGTCCCAGGCCCTGCCAACTTTGCACTTTTCCTTCATGCCCTTCGGAAGTTCGTAATTTTTTATCAATAACTATTGCCTGTCCCTTCATGGGGGCAGGGATTGCGTCTGCTCCCAGCAGCTGGCGTTCCCATTGCCGCCTGCAGTGCCTAAGTGTCTGGGTGGAGGTGCATGCCAGTGCTGGTCATGTGCTGGGGCAGCCTTTCATGGGTGCCCTGATGGGCCTGCGGAGGGAGGACATGGCTCTGCTGGGCTGCTGGGAGCAGGGAGGGAGGAGACCAAGAGGGTTCATGAGGCAGATGGTGCTGCCTGACGGGCATGTGTGGCGATGTCTCTAGGTGTCAGTGAGGTTGGAGAGGGAGCTCCAGGGCTTTCTCATGCCAGGCTGTGCAGCTTGCACTCAATCCTGCAGGGAGGGTGGGGTGGGGATGGCTGTGATACGATCAGATATAATTGGCAAGAGAGAGGCCCTGCTTTGAAGGGGAGATTGTCAGTGCAAGATGAACTCTGGGCAGGTGAGGACACTGTTTACTCCTTGGAACCCGGGTGCTTCCGAGATAAAGAAGGAGCTCATGGCTGCAGACTCAGTGTTGTGTCCATCCTCAGCCCCAGGTGCCCCTGCATGTGGTCCTAAGTGTCCCCTCCCTCTGCTGCTGTGACAGGCTAGCCTCTGAGCAGCTTGAGCCTTGTCCAGCCTACGCAGGATAAAGTCGCACTCACCTCCTGGCTCCTCTCGGTGTGTAACGATCTAAAGTGGTTCTGGGAAGGGAGCTCCTGCCCTGAAGGATGCAGGACGAGAATGCACACTTGGCCACGCTGCTTCTTCCTGTGCTTTCCCTGGAAGGAAACCGCGTTTAGCCTTCAGTAGTGCCTCCCCGACCCCACCACCCTCCTGACGGGACAGGAAGCGAGTGGGGCTGGGAGCAGGTGGGAAGGGGTGGCGTTTGGGGCCCTCCCTGCTAGTCTACCAAGTGAGGCCGGGCTTCTCTGCAGTGATAGTCAGCTCCTCTCACCCACAACAGGCTTAGCTTGGCTTGCGCCACGAGTCCACGGAGGGTTAGCCACAGCTTTGCAGCCTGAAATGACAGCTGTCACGGCAGAGGGATGAGAAGGCAGTGAGGCTTCTGCTGGCTCTGTGTCTGCCCCATGGTGACATGAACTCATACATCTCACTGGACCCCCCTACAGGCAAGGGAACCCAATACTGCATAGTTCCCTTTTCTTCTTAAAAAAAAAAAAAATGGAAATACCTTGTAGGGTTATTGTTAGCATTAAAGGATTAATACCTGTGATGCCCGTAGTGACTGGCGTGGTGTGAGTGCTGCATGTGTGTGTAAGGGTTGGCCATGTTGACTGTGTCTGCGGTGTGATGACATGTGCAAGCCACTCAGTACAGGCCTGGCACTTAGTGAACAGTCAGTCACCATGGCTTATGTCAATATTGTTATTACAGTGATAGTAGAACTTCTCTGTCAGCCTTACCTGTGGCCCCAGCTGACTTGAGAGCTCTCAGTCCTAATTGGAGTCAATGAGGCAGTGATTATGAAAGTGTCCCCAAGCGGGAGATGCATTCTGTGCTAGGGCGGCGGAAATGCTGAAAAGGCAGGGCCAGGTGGGGTCAGAGTGACTCGAGTGCTGTTCCTGGCTCCACCCTTCACCTGCCAGCCCACGTGGGCCTTAGTCTCCTTGCCTACCGCATAGGGAAGGTGCAGGATGGCACAGAAGACCTTGAGAGCCGTTGGGTCCGCCTCCAAGGGACTGCCCAAGGCCGTGGCTCACGGTTACCCAAAACGTGATTTCACAGCTGCATTGAATCAAACCTGTGGGCCCCTGTTGTTTATTGAGCAGTCTCCAGCACAGGGATGGAGAGGAAGTAGAGGAAACAAAGGTGTTTGTTATTCTAGGTCTTCCAATCCGACTTGGAAGATAACATCTAAGTCTATCAGAGGTTAAATGGCACCCTAGAATCTAAGTGGGTTTGTCATCTTTGCCTTTGTGCCTTCTGACCAGTGGGGTCAGAGTAAGAACCGTGGGTCCCAGTGAGGGGTTTGTGTTGTCACCAGGGAGCCATGGGAGGCCCCCCATTTGCCAAGCATGTAGCACGTGGCCCACTCTGCTGTGGGCCGTTCTCGTCTCTTACCTCTTTGGTCCTCATCTCAGTCCCTGAGATAATGGAATTATTTCCCCATTTTTACAGGGGAGACAACTGCGCCCCAGGGAAGTTAAGTCACTTGTCCAGGGTCAGGTAGAAAGTGGCAAGGCCAGGATCATAGCTTGGAGGGGCTTTGGTGACAGCTGATGGCTCCGTGGGTGGCATGAGGGTTGGTGATTCAGGGCCACCTTGGCAGGAGGTCGTCGTCTGGGATAGCCTCTGACACAGCTGGTGCCACGTGATGATGAGACCGCCGGCCAACAGATACCAGGGAGGCTGAGTTGAACGCATCTGGTGGCTCTGGTCCCAGAGAAACAGATCATGTCCTGTTCTGGGGTGGCTGTGAGGTCAGCCTCTCGATGGCTGCTGCCCTGGGTCATAGGCGACTCCTCCTGTGGTGGAGACAGCCACACAATCTGCCCATTGTGCACCAAGGCCAGGCCTGGAATCGCCCTTTCTGCTTTGGGGAGGGTGGGACCATTCTGTGCCGTTAATTGGTTACAGTTACTTTCCCCTGTGGAAAGCAAGCCTGGTACCGAAAGACACGCGGCCCTCTTACCAACCAGGAGCAGAGCTGGACTTTGTACAGCCTAGTTGGGACAGGGGCAGGAGAGAGTACCCCGGAGCCTGAGCTCTGAGCCGGCACATGGGCTGCAGCCCCTCTGCTCGTGTGTGGACAGTCAGGGTTTTTCAGCTCAGGGTCTGGGGACATGTTGAGTTTTAGAAATGTTACTGTTTATTAATAATACATTTCCCCCAACATTTTAGAAGGAACTTTTATGCACACTATTTCCAGGTTTCTCAACCTCAACATGATTGACATCTTGGGCTGGATAATTCTGCGCTGCTAAGGGCTATGCCGGACAATACAGAGTGCTTAGTTGCCTTCCCGGCTGCTCATTACCAGATGCCAGCATTCCTCACCCTGACCCTCTTGACAACCAAAAATGCCTCTAGATGTTCCCTGGTGGAGGGAGCCCACGTCACCCCTGGTTGAGCAGCACTGCATTTTGTAAGTGATGGGTCCAGAAGCTCTGAGAGCTCAGGCGGGCCAGTCAAGTAGTTTCTGATTTGTGTATGGACACTGAGGCCCCATCGGGTACAGTTTCTGGGTTTTAATGTTTGGAATCGCACACCATGAGGGCCAACATCTTGTGGCTTCATTTCTTCAGTAATATTAATACCTGTGGCAGAAAGGACACCCTGTTTTCTGTTTCCTCCTGGTTTGTGTGGGTGGCATGACTTCACAGCGTGTTCCTCTGCTGCCTGTGCAGGCTGTGTGCCCGTGATAAAGCCCACTGTGGCTGCCTATGTCTTCATATAGTAAATTTCATTGCCACCTCACCAGCTAAGAGCACAGCCGGCTGGGTAAACCACACGTTGGCCTCTGCTAACCTCGGCCCTCTGGGATAGACAGAGAGAGGCATGAGGATATCCTCTGAGCCCCTCCCTATAAGTCCCTGCCCCAGGCCTCCCATGCCACCTGGCAGCCAGCCCCTGATCTGGCCCTGACCTCTACCTGTTTTTCTCTCCATTGGTCTGTGAGGTCATTCATCAATAACTATTATGTTCGTTCAGTAAGTCTTAGTTGAGCACTTACTGTGTGCCAGAGTTCCCAAAAGTCATTGCAGACGCAACAATGAATAAGACCAGGTGGACGCAATCCCTGCCCTGCTGGAGGTGTATCGGAGTGTGAGTGCACTGGATGATGGCAACGAAGCATAGGTAAATAGAGGACAAGATAATGCAGCCCCAGTGATGCCGAGTACTAGGAAGAAATGCCGAGGCCTGGGAGAACAGGGAGGTCCTTGTTATTGACCCTCTGAGGAGCTTACATTTAGCTGAGGCCTTAAAGGGCAGGTCAGGTCGGGAGGGGAGCAGGAAGGGGGCAGCACCTGGCCAGGCCCTTCAGTGGGACTGGACAGAGACCCGAGGACCTGCAGTAGCCAGGTGCAGCCAGAGCATGTTGGCCAGGGTTGTCTGCGGTGGGCTGGAGGGCTGGTAGGAGCCAGGCTGAGCCTAGGCCTCGTGGCCTCCTGGGAGCGCTGGGTAGCTCTTTGAGGACAGGAAACATTGTGCCAGCTCCCCTCTTTGATGACTCCAAGTTGAGCCACAGACAGTGTGCCATTTTCTAGTCCCCAAGCTCTCTGAGGAGGAAGGGGCCTCGCCCACAGCAGCAGTCAGAAGGCAGGGAGGGAGCTCCCATGGTGGCAGGAAGACTCCCTCTTCTGAGCATGCCTGCAGCCACTGGCAAGAGGACAGAGAAAGTGTGCAGCAGAGGCCAGTGCCATCCACGGTGGAGATGTGTGGCCGGGTCACCCCTGGCAGCAGGAGCTGTCTCTCCTTGTGCACCTAGAGCTTGCACCAGAAATTAGAAGACTGGAGTGGCTAGATGCAGAGGTGAGGAGTCCAGGGGTGCTCTGGCCTCAGTGACCCCGCTGGCCTAGATCAGCAGCACCACTGCAAACTGTGCCCTGATTCTGGATGACTGTTCTCTCCCTGCAGTCACTAGTTTGTAAGCCCTGCTGGCTGTGGGTTATATTGGCAAACCCAGCAATGCATCACACGGACAAGGCAGGAGAGCCCATGGGCTGCCAAGAGGCATTGGTTTGTTCTGCGAACTGAAAGTCAGACTCAGTCTGGTGACTGTGGGCCAGGGTGGGGTGGGTGGGGCTCTAGCAGGCATGTCACCTTTGGCCTTGATGTAGGGAAGCTGCTCTCCTGTGTATTATTATCCATAGGAGAGGGGCAGCTACACAAGCCCACCTGAGCAGGTGTGTGGGAATGTGTGTAGCAGGTGTGTGGGAATGTGCTTAGCGGGGAAGGGGCTGTTGCTGAGGTGGGTGGAACCCAGCTCTGTGTGACCTTGGGCAGGCAGCCCCTTTCTTGCCCTCCTCTTGTTCAGCTGGTAGCTGTGACAGTGGGCCAGATGACCGACCCCCTCCAGCTCTGTCTGCGTGGAAATCCCAGCTGTTTCTTCATCCTGCAGGATCCTTCCCTGGTCGCCTAGAGGACCTGACTAGTGTGATGATGCTGCGACAGCATATGACATTTGTCAGGGGAACAGCCCTGGCTGGGCACCTCGCCTGCCTCCCGCTGACAGAGGTGGAGAAAGCTTATAAAAGTTTGCTGTGAAATCTGGGGACAGAGGGGAGGTGTTGTTTTCAGTGGTGGGCCTGGAAAAGGGGGGAGTTTGCTGTCTCCAAATAACAGTGTTCTGTTTCCTTCCGGTCCTCTCCTCTGTGGCAGTCAGGGTTATTTTTTGGCCTGAACACCATTGTTCTGCATGCGTCTTTCTACTGGCTCTTGAACAACAGTTTCTCCCTTAGAGAGCCTGCAGTTCCTCCCAGCCATGGCTCACACTGCGTGCCAGGCGGCTAAGCGAGGTGCATGACACTGTGATGCTTTAGTAGCCCCCGTGGGAGGATGACCTGAAGTGACCATTGTGGGTGGCACCCACCTTCAGGATGGGGGTGCCTGTTACCTGCAGGCCACAGAGACACAGTGGGGTCTGCATGCAGAATCACATTCAAGTGCCCTGTTTGTCTGGGTGCTCAAGCCCCTGCCCTGCTCCACCCCACACAGCCCCTTTTAGTGCCCTCCCCTGATCTGGAATGGTATCACCTACAGTTCATTCTCCCTGGAGGCTGGAGCCTGGTTGCTTTGAATCCCTTATTCTATATTCATTCTGTTCACCAGGGAGGGGACAGGTTGTTGTTGGCATCTGCTCCAGGGAAGCTTCCCCAGCCCTTCCCAGGGCTCTGGCATTTCTCCCACCCCTCATCGGGCCTGGGACACTGAGTCTGACTCGCCTGCACATGGACTGTGAGTCTGATGGATCCTAGGTGTGGCTTTCCCTGTGCTCTCAGCAGCCTGGAATGAGGTGGCACGTGCATTTGGAACAAGTTCGTGAACAGAGTCCACCTGCTGCCCTGCCAGCCGTGTCCCCTCTTGGAGGGCAGCCATCTGTTCCAGTGACCTGGAGCTTTTTCAGGGGGTCCTGTGGGACTGAACACAGACGATCTTCCTTGTGACACAGTCCCTGTACAGTGGGGCTCTGCGGGATGCCCTGATCTCATCTTAGTCTTTTGCAGGCAGCCTCATTTTAACGGCTGCATGTTAAACAGCCTTGCTGTCCTTTACTGAGCCAGCTCTTTACCAGTGTACACTTAGGGCATTTCTGATCATGTTTTAGAAACATGCTATAGTGAATAGCCTAGTACATGTATTT